CAGGCGTGGTACAATGAGATCAAGGACCCGGGGTATGATTTCCAAAGCCCCGGTCCTAAACCTGGTGTGCATCACTTCACACAAGTGGTGTCTTGGCAGTCGAGTACTAGCAACCTTTATTTTTTTCTTGCGAACTACAGTCCATCTAAAATCCCGAAGGATAACTTTTGTCACCTTAAGCCAAAAAACCCTAACCCCCCCCCCCCCCCCCCCCGCCGTTTGGCTCCCCCCCTCCCCCAAACCCTGCACAAGTGAGGTGTGGAAAGGCACCACGAAGGTGGGCATGGCGAAGTCCAAGGATGGCTGCTTCATGGTGGCCAATTACTTCCCAGGTGGCAAATTACATCCCAAAATGTAATGTAACATAATATCACACAACATAGTATCGTATGTTATAACAGATTACTATCATAATATTATATAATAAAACATGACATAACATAAAGTTAGATAACATATATATATATATACATACAACACACTATGAAAATTTTATGTATCAGAACACAATCTACTGTAATACTAACATGTAACATGATATGATGTGGTGGAATAGTACCTAATTCAATATCGTAGAATATATGCTAGAGAGTATAGTATAGTTACTTTTCCCAAGGCCTTACTCTAATCAGCAAAGCCCCATCTGTTGGACCCTTGTTGCTTCCCAGGTGGCAACGTCACCAATGAAGGATACTACAAGGAGAACATTCCAGCTCCCAAGGCCGATATGTGGGCCAAGCTCATGGCGGTTGAGGTCGTTGAGAGCAAATCGAAGCCACAGGCCGATTTAGGGTCTAGGATTTAGGGTTTAGGGTTTATAGGGTTTAGGACTTAGGGTTTAGGGTTAGGCTTCAGGGCCAAGTTTGGATGTCAGGGTTTAAGGTTTAGGGTTTCGGGTTTAGGTTTTAAGGTGTAGGCTAGGTTTTCAGGGGCATCCACAGGTGGTGGACGCCAATTTCGATGCAACTGCAGAATGCTCCAAGTCAGCGGTAACAGCGACATCCATGACAACAGAGATGGAAGCCGCTCTTAAGGGCTGCCCTTTCAAGGATTATCTTGAAGACGTCAAGAAGGCTTTTGACAAGAACGGTAAAGTCACGGTCGATCGGCAAGGTAATGATGTAAAGATCGTGATTGAAGTCGGCGATGTGATCAATGAGCTGAACGGCTCCTGGTGATAGCCGTCTTGTAGCTATCTTCCTTTGTACTCCAAGCCGGGCAGAAATCGTGTCCGATGCTGGGTTGCTGACCAGTTTGACAGTCTGCAGCACATTGCGTTGCAGAGGCCATGAAAACTCTCAGACGGGGCATTGGCTTCCACAGCAGTTCATGTGATGTATTTCCGATGTGGCCTCCAGCGTATAGTTTAAAAGAGTGCAGTGGGCCTTCCCTCGTTCATGGAGCGCATACGGCCCTGAACTTAGACCTCTGGGATTTAGGGTTTAGGGTTTCATGCCAGAGCCCTCTGTAAGCCTTATTCCTCAAACCCAAACCTTTATCCCTGACACTTCGGAGCAGAGAAGGAGGCCCTGAAACTTAAACTCCCAACCCTCACCCCTAAACCCTGAACCCTACGCCAGCTTGGAGTAGTTAGGGCTCAGGGTTTAGGCTTCAAAAAGCCAAAATCGAATCCTCTGGGATCCTATAGACCCTAAACCCTAAACCCTAACTAAAGCCTAAACCCTAAACCCTAATTAAACCCTAAACCCTATACCCTAATTAAACCCTAAACCCTAAGCCGTGGATTTCAGGTGCCACTCGATTGCGCCAGCTCGAAGACCTTTCCGCGAAGACTGCCAGGAACGATCGGGTTGCGGTTCAGGGCGTAGGGTTGAGAGTTTGGGGCTTAGGGGTTTAGGGTTTAGGGTTCAGGGCTTAGGGTTGAGAGTTTGGGGTTGGGACCCCAAAAGAACCTACCTGTTTATATAGGGATCTTTATCATGGTTTCCATGTATAAGTGCTTAGTTTAGTCTTAAAGCCGTAGGTTAAGATTCAAGCATATGATTTATGAGTGCATGAAGGGCCCTTAGGGATAGGTTTTGGAGATTTTGGGGGGGGTTTGGGGTTCGGGGGTTAGGGTTTAGGGTCTAGGTTGAGGGATTCATCGGGCTCCTGCTTCCCTTTCCTGCTCAGAGGCTCTAAGGACTGGCCGTTTCAAGGCTTTTGGGCCCCAAGGCTATAAGTGTAGGTAAACCCCTACACCCTAAACCCTAAACCTAGAGTCTAGAGCTCATATTTCACTTCTATTGGCCCCACACGCCATAGATTGAGGGTTTAGGGCTCATGTTTCACGGGTTTTTGGGGCCCAAAGGCCATACTTACGGCTAAGGGTTTAGGGCATTATCCCCCGAACCGGACCCTATGCAAGGCTGTGAGGCCCTTGGTTGTTCTGCGTCCTTTGTTCTGTACAAGAAGATTGGCGGTTAAGGGTTTACGGTTCACTGTCTTAAAGCGTATAGATAATTGCCAAGATTATTCCTTAGGCTTCGTTTTTATAGTTATAGTATAAAGGAGCCCAAAGCCCTGTTCTAGTCATTAAGACCCCTATATTCGGGTTTTAGGGTTTTGTTGGGGGGGCTGCACAGGGCTTTGCAATGGTCGGGCTGAACAAGAGTCCTAAAAGGATGCTTTTTGAATGTTGGGCTCGGCATTCGATAATTAAAGGGGCCTTGATGTGCTGAAGATGGTTTTCCCGAAGGGTCCAAGTGCAAAAATGGTAGGGTTTCCAGGTTCAAAGATTGAACGTATGGAGTTTGGGACCTAAAACCCGACTATTCGGGACTTGGACCATCTGGGCTTTTTAACCCTAAACCCTAAACCCTAAACCCTAAACCCTAATCCCTAAACCCTAAACCCTAAACCCTATGCTAGCACCTCAAAGGCAGCACTCAACCCAAGAGGAGCAGGCCCTTAACCTCCGCCCTCTTTGTTTCAATGACTTAGGGTTGATTCAGAGTCCTGCAACTCAAGGGGCTAAAGGAGGGATCCTTAAAGGGACCCTTGGGATTATATAGGGGCTTTATGAGACTATATCGGGGGTAATAGAAGGGTTATATAGGGTATTAGGACTAGGGGTCCCTTCTAGCGGTCCCTCCTATTGTCCCTAAAGCAACCCTGTTAAAGAGAACACATCATGGTATGTAGGTCTTGAAACAGTGACAGGGAGCTATGGGCTTTCCTAGTACAGCTTGATCATGATTCTAGAGATATACAAATATAAATATAAATAGATATAAACCTAAATATAAATATGAATTTAAATATAGGCATAAATATAAATATAAACATAAAAATCAAAAAAATGTATAAATAAGTGATAAATATAGAAAATAATAGATAACAAATCAATCAATCAATCAATCAATCAATAAGTAAATAAAGATATAAATAAATAAATAAATATAACATATATATATATGTGCCGAGGCACGAAATCCCAAGAATCTCACTCCCACCGTGTCGAGCTTAGGGTTTAGAGGTTTAGGGTTGATTTTGTGGTTTCTTTGGTCAGAATACCCCTGCCAATGTGACAACCACTCGAACTTCTGGTAAACTTCACAAAAGCATGCTTTATTTCTGACGTAGAAAGGTACAGACAAGGTGAGAGCGCAGCAGCTTTTAGAAGCAGCTCGGAGCAACACATAGCAAGCAGCACAAGCAAGCCATGGACGTCCAGGTTGCTCTGCTGAGCAGGCGCCGCACGGTCGTGCAAGTGGAGCCGGAGGCTACCTTCGGCGTTGTGACCGAAAAGGCTAGGCTAGCCCTTGGCGTGGCCAGGGCTCGACTTTGCAGCTCCACCGGTGATAGCCCTCGCGTGAAGAGGGCCAAGGTGCAGGGTGCGCTCACGCTACAGGTGAGCTTGCCGCGAGTACACGCGAAGCACGGCTTTGCCACAATCCAAGGAGACGGCACAGTTTTGATGGCTGGCTGTCAGATTATGTCTTCTCGTCACAGGATCTTGCTCATAGGTTGCCCCCCCAAACGACATTGCAAGTCAGATTCAAACTAGAGCGCATATGAAGCTGTTATGAAGCCGTTATGGAACTTCTGGAAAAGCATTATTATAAAGAAACATATAAGTTAGAACCTTGTATACTCGTTATGAAGCACGTACAAATACCTTGCACAACCCTTCAGAACCCTTATAGAACCCTTTAAAATGATGACAGAACCCATGTAAAACCCTTATAGGATGCGCGTAAACCCTCCACAGAACCCTTATACAGTCTCAAACAGAACCATGCATAACGACACAACCTTGAAACAACCTTTACAGACCCCCTCTCAGACTTACACCAGAACCTGACGCAAGTCTTAAGCCCTGCAGGGCCTTGCCATGCATCCTTCATAGAAGCCTTGTGAAACCTTACAAAACCCGAGTGTAGGGTTTAGGGTTTAGGTATGCAGCTTTGTAGACAAGCCATCCTGAACAAGGAAGCCGTTAAAGCCCGCGAGAGGTGCTTGCGCTGTTAAGGAGGCCGCTGGCAAGTCTGAACGGCGGGTTTGAGTAATGAAACTCTCCTTCGTCGCGGTGGCAAAAGCCAAGGATTTCAGTTGAGGCTCGAAAGGGTTCCTATGAGGTGTATTTACGGGTGATTAGGGTTTAGGGTTTAGGTTGAAGAACGGTGTGTTTTGGCCATGTTCAGATATATGTTTCGGCTTCGCGTTCTGGCGGTCCGAGTATCCAAGACATAGGTACCCTGCTCAAGATAGTAGTGCTTCTGCATTTCAGTAGAGCTGTCTGCCTGGCGGCTCAACCCTAGCACATGTCTTTGGATAGCCTGCTTTGTACTTCGGGTCTAAAACCCTAAACCCTAAACCACTAAACCCTAAACCACTAAACCCTAAACCCCTAAACCCTAAACCGTTTGAGCTTGTCGGGCCGAGTTTTCGGTCTCGTAGGCTCTGAACTGAAATTCCGCGTTTGCTTCCTTTGTTCCTATGGTCGGATCTTGACGGCGAAATGGCACAGGGATTTCTTGAGACTCTTGGAAAAACCTTGAAAAGCCTTACACGGCCCCAGGCCTTCCAAGATCCCTGAAGTAACGAAGATACCTTCAATCATATTAGGCGTCCTACTATCATGTAAGATATGCCCCTCAAACATATCATAAAGGCAAGGAAGATACCTTCAATCGTAGTAGGGATCCTACTAGACGTTCCTTAATTCAGGGATTTGGCAGGCACGATGAGTCGAAGGCTCAACATCGTGCGCAGGCCTCGATGGCCCCGAAGGGCCATGTGCCCAAACAGTATGCACTTTAGTTCCTTTATAGGTACTTTTGGGGCCAAAGTATATACCACTGTTGCTGATATAAATCCTGCATTACCTTAATTGCCCCCCAAGCTATGGCAAAATTATGGTATCTTCCTTATTATGGTTAAACCCTAAACCCCTAAACCCTAAACCCTTATTTGGGCACATGGGAGCAGCTCCATTCCGAAGACCTGAACCCTGCACGCTGCCAGCCATAGCCCGAAGCGCCTAAACCCTAAACCCTTAACCCTTAACCCTTAAACCCTAAACTCGAAAGCCTAAGCCCCCAAACCCTAAATGAACCCTAAAGCCCTAAAGCCCTAAGCCCCTAAACCCTAAAGTTATGAGTCCCTGGAGGGTAAGGGGGCGTAAGGGGAAACCAATCAGCCGGAAGGGGAAAAGGACCCATACAGCAAGTTTCCTAAATTAGGGTCCCTTTTTGGGTCCCCAATATAGTATGGCACCCTTATTTTAAAAAGGACCTTAAACGGGACCCTAATTTAGAAAACTACCCATCTGGTAAAGTTTCAAGCTTCAAACACACCAGTCAGAGCATGGACTTTGGGGGATTTAGGGTTTAGGTGTTTGGGGTTTAGGGCTTTAGGGATTTAGGGATTTAGGGGTTTAGGGTTTAGGGCTTGCATGGGATCTAAAGCCCTACTATTTTGGGTACTTAGACCCTCTGAGTAAGGTGGTTTGGGGAGTTGCTGCATTGAAACTGATCGCCGCAGCCTGATTTGCTTGCACTCCAGAGCCCCCAGAACCCCCAATGGTCTCAAGACCTAATAATTAGGGTGTAGGGTTTAGGGTTCAGGGTTTTGTGTAATAACTAGGGTTTAGGGTTTTGGGTTTGTGTACCTGAGTTTAGGGTGAGGTAGACCAATGATGGATGAACGCCCTTGCGTTCAGGGCCCTAGTCCT